TTTATAACATTTATTGTTATAATAGTAAATAGCATCTTATTAACATTTAATAATTGGAACACATTCTCTTTTTTCGATATCCTCAAATTAATTTTCAGAACATTAATAAACACATTTTCCTTCTTATAAGAATAATCCACTTTTACAAGAAAGGCAAGTCTTTAAGTCACTTGAGCATTATTAGCATTATTAAGAACATTTAGCACATTAATCCCCTATTTTAACATATTATGAATATTCATCACATACTGCACATATAGTTTGCGATTAACATTATCTACATCCTATAATTTCGCATATTTAACATGTTTTATTTTCTTAATTAGCGAATGTTCCTTCTGGACATTAATTAACAACAACACATTTACCAGTTTTTAAATTAAGAAAGAACTAGTCTTTACATTTAGTACATTATTCATGAACATCAGAATCACATCTCTCACATTCTTACTCACATCCTTAACTTACTGATTTTTCACATGTTTTTTAATTTATTAATTAGAAGTTATTACTACATTATTTTACACATTTTCCTTCTTCCAAATATGTCAAGAAACCGCATTCTAAGCAATCATTCTTTGAAGCACCAGAACATTTTATACATGACATATCACACTTAGCACATATATTATTTGTATTATCTTAGTAATAACCATTAGGACACTATTCTCTACATACTTTATCAGGATTTGCAAATTTACCCTAGGGACATTATTAAACACACTTTTAGAAATATTCATCTAAAATAAATTATTTACAATTTGTTATTTAAATATCACAATCAGATCCCATCCAACCAAATGTGCATTTACATTATCCATTTATACAAATACCCTTTTGAGAACAATATTTAGGACATTCAGGAGAATAACTACAAAATTCTCTTAAATTATCAGGACAAGAAATGAAACCGAATTCTGGTTTTCCTTGCACAACTTCTATTTACTTTCCTTCATCTTATTATGTACATATTAATTTTTATAATTTTTAGTTAGGAAAACCTATTGTAATATAAGTAAAATCAGGAGAACATAAAACGTGATGACAACGAGTATTTCTATGGAAATTTATACCTTTTCCATCATTAGCAGTAGATCGAAAGCATCTAGAATTACCTCCATAATATTCTAATGTATTCTCATCATAATAGGTTTACTTTGAATAATCTTCACAATAAACAGAATTTTTAATATTTTTGCAATTATCCATGAAACTACTTTCGAAAACTTACCCATAACCATCATTTTATGATGAGCATTATACAGGAGAATGTTCTATTTGGCTAAACTCAGGATAATAAGTATTAGATTAGCAAGCTTTAAGAGCAAAATCACATCCTTTATTTTTTCCCCATTATATATTATTAGCCATACTTTCGTTTACTTCAGCATAATAACCAGTATCTTTTAATACAGCAATAGTAAAAATAGATAATATAAATTCCCTTCCAGAAGAATCGGCAGTCATCAATTCATCAAAAAGGATTGTTTTTTCCCAATGAGAACCAATAGAATTAATATCTCCATCGTTCTCTAATTGCATTCCTTCTAAAGTAGGACATCCATAATATTTTCTAGCAGTAGCAAGCACATTTGGAGTAGACATGATAATAGTTTATTTACCCCTTATAGGAACTGTTCTTACATAATTATTTATTTCATTATCATAATAATTTCCGGTTTAAGGATTTATCCAATATCTATATAAACCTCTTGAAAATCCTAAAATATGCAACATTTCATGCAAAATAACATTTAAATCACTTTTGAATCCAGGATTAGTATTTTATTATAATATTTTATCCAAATTTACCATTATCACACCATAATTAACTCTTTTTAAAGCTGGATCCATTTAACAATGAACAGCATTAGCTAAATTAGAAGAATCTGGACTATTATATTAGGCAACCCAAATATGAATATCAGAATTTCTCTCACCATCTGCTCTATATTTTGGAGGAATATTTATATTCTAACATTTTTCACTATTATATATATTAGGCCCTAAAGCAGGTATTACTTTTAAAAGTTATTACAAATATTCTTAAATAAAATTCATTTTATATTTTAAATTATTTTATTAACGAATAGTTATATCATTTTAATTTTAACCAAATAAAATATAATCAAAAGTAATTCTTATGGGTTATGCTTACTAAGGCAAGTTAGCCATCTGCAAATTTCTATTTTATGTGTTTTTTAGAACTTTTTCATTTTATATTCTTCGTGTTTATTCTATTTGATCATTGACTTCTGAGAAATTAAATTCAGTATCATGATTGCATACATGATTATATGCTTAGGAAATTAACAATATTATTAAAATTGTGTTTTTAAAGCATTATTAAAATTTCATTTTATTTTATTTTAGTTTATTTTATTAATTAATTATATATATATTTTTTTTTTTATCTTATATATATTATGTCTATTTCATTTTCTAAAATAAATTATTATTAATTTATTTATTTATATTAATATATAATTTATCAGAAAAAAAATATAATTTAATTAATCATTTTTATTATATCCAGATTTAATAATTTTAAAATGTTAATAAATTATTATAAAATGATTATTTTTTTTAATAAAACATTGATTTTGTAAATTAGATATTATTTATAAAATGTAATTATTTTATTTTTATAAGAAAATTATGAAAATAAACAGTAAGCATTAAAACATATGCGACAGTATAATTAATATTAATTATATATTATAAAAAAATCATTTATTTCTAAGTAATAAATAAAAAATTATATGAATTATATTAAAAATATTTAATAAAAATTATAATATTTTTAATATTTATATTACTTGATTTTATATAAAAAGAATCTTTATATAATAAATAAAATTATATTTATTTTTATTATAAACCAAAAATCATAATAAAAAATTTTTAGTTAAGAAATAATATTAAATTTTTATAAAAAATATAAAAATAATAAAACATATCTAAAATGATATGTACAAGAAAAAAAAAAATTATAACAATTTTATAAATAAATTTATATATCATATAATTAAATTTTAATAGAAACAATAATATTAATTTATTTTCAAGTCAAATAAAATAAAATTAATTTTTTATATATAAATTAATTTAATGTAGATTTTTCAAAGAATTTTATTTATATATTAATAAAGTTGCATTTTATTTATATATTAATAAAATAAAAAGGCATCTATGCATAAATAATAAATAAAAGTATTTCGTTTGCTATCGGCCTTACTTACTAAGGTAAACGCAATTGATCCCATTTTCCGAAATTAATCTCCTTAAGGCTCAGTTAGTACTAAAAATATAAAAAGAGTTTTCGACACTCATACTTTTCAAGCAATCCCCACTTTATTACTCAAGAAGCTTTAAGGCGCTTAACTTCGGAATTAGAATTGAATACAATGTGTAACAAAATCATTGTGTATTTTACTTTTTTATATGCTTATTTATATACAGAAATGAATCATGAACTTAATTACCATAATTTTCTTTATTAATAAATTAAAAAAAAATTATTTTAATGAAAATTTTAATAGAAATAACTAATTATAAATAGTATAACATTTTATAATTAAATAAAATTATTTATATATAAATAAAAATAAATTTAAATTATTTAATATTATATATATTACCAATTGTATACATTTTAAATAAAAATTTTATTTATTTTCAAAACTATAAATAAATATATACTTAAAAAAATTTCACTATAAATAAATTTGTTTTGCGAATGATTAATATAAGTTGACACGTAAATATTTTAGTTATAAAGGACTCAATTATTCAAAAATAATTTTTTGGGCTAACTGTTCTTAGAAGTAGAAATTATTTTTAATTGATAGGCAATCTATCTCAATTTAAAAATAAAAAATATATTAATAATACATTTTGAAATACCATAATTTTATAAAATAAAAAATTAAATTATTTAGAAAATAATTTTTTTAATTTTTAATATAAGAAAATTTTTAAATATTCATTCTTTATTTTAAATAAAATATTAAATAATAATTAATTATAAAAGATACATTAAAACAAAAAATCTATAAAATATATATTTATTAATTAAATAATAAAATATATTTAATATAATTATTAATTAAATATAAATATATATATTATATATAAAAAAATAAAAAAATTTATATTAAATAAATTTTGTAATAAAAAAAATTATAAATATTTTATGAAATATATTAAATTAATTAAATTTTTAATTTATTTTATATATTAAATATTAAAAAAAAAATATTTGTTATATTAATTATTTTAAAAAATATTAAAAAAAAAAAATATTTTTTAAAAAAATGAATAATAAATTATATTAATTTTATATATAATAAAATATGTATAAATATATATTAAAATATTTATTTAAATTAATTATAATTTACATATATTTAAAATAAAAAATCATGAAATTTATATATTTATAAACAATTAAGTTTTAAAATATCATTTATATAATAATTATTTAATATTTATATTAAAATAAATTAGTTCATTACTTTACTATATAAAATTTTAAATATTTCATATATTATTTTAATTTTTTAATTTTTTTAATTATTTACTTATTTATATTATTTTTAATTACTTATTTTAATTAAATGATTTTTTATAAAAAGTTTTATAAAAAATATTTATTTTAAATTATTAATAAAGAAAATAATATTAATTTAGTTTATGATGTATTTATTTCATTGTATAAGCAAATATAAATAGCAAAAATGCATAATGTTTTTTTGGTCGGCCTTACTAAAGTGAACACAACGTATCCAATTCAAACTCAAAATTTAAGCGCCTTAAAGCTTGGTGAATACTATTATATGGACTGTTTGGGATGTACGAGTGTAGAAAGCACTTTATATATTTATTTTTTTCATAATAAATAAATATTTATATTAAATAAAAAGAAAGTATATTAAGGGCTGTCCAAACTCGGACTTGCAAAGCGGTCCCTGATCTTAGAACTAACAAAGCCTTAAGGTGCTTAACTTAGGAAATCATATGGAATCAAAAGTGTTCACCTTAGTATGACAGAAAAAAAAGAATTATTTTTTATTTATTATTTATACATAGATATTTTTTTTATTTAAAACAAACGACATCATTAATTTATACACATAATTTCTTTAAAAAATATATATTAAATTAATCCATAAATAAAAAAATTAATTTTGTTATTTGAATTAGATAAAAATATCATATTTTTATTTCTATTAAAAAATGTAATATTATGTAAAAAATTATTATAAAAATTAAAATATAATATTTTTCTTAAATATATAAATTTTGATTTATTTTAAAATTTTTATATTTTTTTATAAATATATTTATTTTAATCTTTAAGAAAAAATCTATTATTATAATTTCTGGTTTAATAAGAAAAATAAAGATATATTTTAATAATTAAATTTTTTGTTTAATAAAAATAAAATAATTTGTATATAACATTTATATATGATATATTAATATTTATTTTATTATAATTTAAAAATAATGGTTTTATTAAATTTAAATATAACATAATAAAATTAATGATTGTGTCACATATATTTAAATACTTAATGTTTATTTATATAAATTTTTAATAAAATAAAATAAATACATTATATAAATAATAACTAAATAGCATTATGAATTTGATGTAAAAAATAAAATATTTTATGGTAATATATTAATATTTTAAAATTTATTCTTATAATTATAATAATAAAAAAAATAATTTATAAAATTTTAATTATTTGCTGATACAAAAAAAAATTATAAATAGTATATTAATTATAAAATAAAATAGACAAATATATATAGAAAAAAAAATAAAAAATATATATATATATATAAATATATATATATATATATGATTATATATATATATACATTAATTTATATAAATATTTTTTTAATAATTAAAATTAAATGAAATTTTTAAAAAGCTTTAAAAACATAATTTTAATATTATTATTTATTTCCTAAGCATATAATCATGTATGCAATCATGATACTGAATTTAATTTCTCAGAAGTGAATGATCAAATAGAATAAACACGAAGAATATAAAATGAAAAAGTTCTAAAAAACACATAAAATAGAAATTTGCAGATGGCTAACTTGCCTTAGTAAGCATAACCCATAAGAATTACTTTTGATTATATTTTATTTGGTTAAAATTAAAATGATATAACTATTCGTTAATAAAATAATTTAAAATATAAAATGAATTTTATTTAAGAATATTTGTAATAACTTTTAAAAGTAATACCTGCTTTAGGGCCTAATATATATAATAGTGAAAGATGTTAGAATATAAATATTCCTCCAAAATATAGAGCAGATGGTGAGAGAAATTCTGATATTCATATTTGGGTTGCCTAATATAATAGTCCAGATTCTTCTAATTTAGTTAATGCTGTTCATTGTTAAATGGATCCAGCTTTAAAAAGAGTTAATTTTGGTATTATTACTGTAAATATGATAAACTTCGATAATATAAATTAAGATTTTACTTATCCTGGATTCAAAAGAGATTTAAATGTTATTTTGCATGAAATGTTGCATATTTTAGGATTTTCAAGAGGTTTATATAGATATTGGTTAAATCCTTAAACCGGAAATTATTATGATAATGAAATAATTAATTATGTAAGAACAGTTCCTATAAGGGGTAAATAAACTATTATCATGTCTACTCCAAATGTGCTTGCTACTGCTAGAAAATATTATGGATGTCCTACTTTAGAAGGAATGCAATTAGAGAACGATGGAGATATTAATTCTATTGGTTCTCATTGGGAAAAAACAATCCTCTTTGATGAATTGATGACTGCCGATTCTTCTGGAAGGGAATTTATATTATCTATTTTTACTATTGCTGTATTAAAAGATACTGGTTATTATGCTGAAGTAAATGAAAGTATGGCTAATAATATATAATGGGGAAAAAATAAAGGATGTGATTTTGCTCTTAAAGCTTGCTAATCTAATACTTATTATTCTGAATTTAATTAAACAGAACATTCTCGTCAATAATAATGCTCTTCATAAAATGATGGCTATGGAGAAGTTGTTGAAAGTAGTTTCATGGATAATTGCAAAAATATTAAAAATTCTGTTTATTGTGAAGATTATAAAGAGAAAAAATATAATGATTAGTATCAATTGTAATATTATGGAGTTAATTCTAGATGCTTTCATTCTACTGCTAATAATGGAAATCGTAATTCCCATAGAAATACTCGTTGTCATCACGTTATATGCTCTCCTGATTTTACTTATATTACAATAGATTTTCCCCGTGAAGAATTTCAAAAATTAGTATGCAATTAATAAGATGAAGGAAAGTAAATAGAAGTCGTTTAAGGAAAACCAGAATTTGGTTACATTACTTGTCCTAATAATTTAAGAGAATTTTGCAGTTATAAAGAATGTCCTAATTATTGTAATTAAAAGGGTATCTGTATAAATGGATAATGTATATGCACATTTGGTTGGGCGGGATCTGAATGTAGTATTTAAATAAAATCTGATAAATAATTTGTTTTAGATGATAAAAACGAAAAATGTGTTTAATAATGTCCCTAGGGTAAATTTGCAAATCCTGATAAAGTATGTAGAGAATAGTGTCCTAATGGTTATTACTAAGATAATATAAATAATATATGTGCTAAGTGTGATATGTCATGTATAAAATGTTCTGGTGCTTCAAAGAATGATTGCTTAGAATGCGGTTTCTTGACATATTTGGAAGAAGGAAAATGTGTAAAATAATGTAGTAATAACTTCTAATTAATAAATTAAAAAACATGTGAAAAATCAGTAAGTTAAGGATGTGAGTAAGAATGTGAGAGATGTGATTCTGATGCTCATGAATAATGTACTAAATGTAAAGACTAGTTCTTTCTTAATTTAAAAACTGGTAAATGTGTTGTTGTTAATTAATGTCCAGAAGGAACATTCGCTAATTAAGAAAATAAAACATGTTAAATATGCGAAATTATAGGATGTAGATAATGTTAATCGCAAACTATATGTGCAGTATGTGATGAATATTCATAATATGTTAAAATAGGGGATTAATGTGCTAAATGTTCTTAATAATGCTAATAATGCTCAAGTGACTTAAAGACTTGCCTTTCTTGTAAAAGTGGATTATTCTTATAAGAAGGAAAATGTGTTTATTAATGTTCTGAAAATTAATTTGAGGATATCGAAAAAAGAGAATGTGTTCCAATTATTAAATGTTAATAAGGTGCTATTTACTATTATAACAATAAATGTTATAAAAGTTGTCCTTCAAATACGACATATAAAAATAATAAATGCTTAAAATGTAATAATGGTTGTCTATTATGTTTAGAACAAAGTATATGTGATAAATGTGATACTAATAACGGTTGGGAACATATTGAATTTAATAGGAGTAATTGTAGTAATATATAATGTGATGTTTCATCATGTCTAAAATGTTCTAAAAACAATAAAAAAAAATGTACATAATGTTATGATGGATACATATTGTATAAAAATAAGTGTTTGCGATTTTGTCCTGATACTTATTATCATGATTTGAATAAATAAGCATGTATAAAATGTCGTAAAGGATGTTTAAGTTGTTCTTCTTAAGAATGTTACGAATGTGATAATAAAAATGGTTTTTATTATTAAAATGGAAAATGCAATATAAATAGAGATGGTACAACAAATAATGAAGGTGATAAAATTGATAATGAAGGTAATAAAATTGATAATGAAGATATTATTACAGATGATGAAGATATAAATAAAAATAATGGTATAAGTATAGTTAAAGGAAAAAGTAATATAAACAGTGGAGATATTAGTAGTTATTGTTATTAAACACTATTTTTATTTATAACTTATTTAATGCTATGAAAATTATAATATTAAAAAAGTAAAATATGAATCATTATTTTGAAAAAATAATAATTCATTATAATTTAATTTTAATAATTTTTAAATAAAATTTTATATTTTATAAAATAAAATCTATTGAATTATTGAATAAATAATATATATTAATTTATTTTTTAAAAAAATTAAACCATAAACAAAAATAATATTAATTTTTTTTTTTTTTTTTATTTATTTATGAATATATAATTAAATAATAATATTATATATATTTATTATTTATTATTTATTTTTTATTATTTAATATTTATCATTTATCATTTATTATATAATTTTTATTATTTATATTATATAATATATTATTTTTTTTATATCAATTATTTTAAAATATTTTTTTTATTTTATTATATTTTATTATTTATTATTTTTTTTTATAAAATTATAAAATATATAACTTTTTTATTTATTTTTGTTTTTAATTTTTATTTTATTTTTTATAACAAATTTTTAAAAAATATATTTTTTATTTTTTAAATTTTATAATATTTACAAAGTTACAACATATTTTTTTTTTTTTAATTTTTTTTGTTTCTAAATTATAAAAAACTTTTATAATATTAATATATATATTATATTATATTATTAATTTATTATTGATTTGATATTTTTTTTCTATAAATTTTATAAAAAAAACTTTTCATATTTTATACAATGCTCATAAGTTTATTATATATATTTTTTTTATAATTTATTTTTTTATTTTAAATATAGTATTTATTATTTTATACGATATTAAAAATGTAGTATTATTTTGTTTAATAATAATAATTGATTTAAATAATATTAAATAGAATATCTTGCAAATTTATAATTTTATTTTTTATTTAATTTTTTTATTGCAAATTTTTTATTTTAATAATAAGTATTTCTGTTATAAATAAAAAAGCAAATTAAAATAATTATATTATTAATTTTTTTTTTGTCAGGCTTTTATTCTTTTAATGTTTATTTAAAAAATATTTATTATGTTCATATTTTTTAATTTCTTATAAATTTTATTATAATTTATTTTTATGAATTGTTTAAATTAAATTAAAAAATAATATAAAAAAATGAAAATATATAATGCAAATATATCTTCATATTTAATTTTTATTAGATTTAAAATAACCATAATTATTCTAAATATTTTTGTTAAAAATTATCTATTGAAATGGACAAACAAAAATATAAATAAATCAAAAATAGACGGAATTTTTTTTTTGAGTAATATAATATATTTAATATTCATTAATTGTTAATTTAACTTTATCTAATAAAAAATTATTATTTATAATTTTATCGTATTTATTTTATAGTATATAAAAATTATCGAATAATATATTTATTTTATAAATAATTAATAATAATTTATATAAAATTTATAAATCATTTATAATATTTAAGAATAACTATTATAGGCTTATTAATTAAATTTTTATTTAGTTTTTTATATTTTTATAAATATATTTGTATTATATATTAAATTATTTTTAAACACATAGCCACTAAGAAAAAATAAGTTAAAATAAAGCTTAATAACAATAAGTACTAATACCTCCATTATTTGCATTACTTTCTCTTTAAGATATACTTATTCCATTATTTTTATTGCTATTAACATTATCTGTAACATCATCTCCATTATCTATTTATCTCTCTCATTATTTATATTATTTACCATTCGTATAATAAAAGCTATTTTTATTATCACATTTGTAACATTCTTAAGAAGTACAACTTAAATATCTTTTACAACATTTTGTGCATGCTTAATTTTTTTAATCAGGATAATAGGTATTAGGACAATATAATATACACTTATTTCTATACAATAAGTATCCTTCATCACATTATATGCATTCAGCATTCATTTTATTATTAGTTTTACATTTTAGACAATGTTAAGCTTCGCATTAATGATTAAAGCAACTATCAACATTTCTATCGAGTTCCCAACCGTTCTTAGTATCACATGTATTACATCTGCTTTGTTAATAACATATAAGGCAACCTTAATTACATTTAAAGCAAGTATTTATTTCTGTTGCCGTATTCGAAGGACAACTTTTATAACATTAATTTTTATAATAGTAAATAGTATTTTATTAACATTTAGTAATTGGAACACATTCCTTTTTTTCAATATCGCTAAATTAAGTATCAGAACATTAAGAAAAACATTTACCTTATTATAAGTATAACCCATTATTACAAGAAAAACTAGTCTTTTAATTACTTTAAACTTAATAATATAACTATTTTTTAAATTTTTTAAATAAAAAAAATATATATTATTTAATATTTAATATAGATGATATAGAAATTCAAATAATAATTTTATTTATTTAAAAAGATTTTTTCTTTATTTTTATAAATACATCTTTGATTAAATAAAAAATAAAAGATTAAACATTTTTTATCAGTATACAAAGTGAACACTACGGATACAGTTTGAAATCTGAATTTTAGGTGCCTTAAAGATCAATGATTACTAAGGTGGGACAATGCGTTTGGGAAGTCTTTATATTGATAGCCTTTTATATATACTTTTTTTAATAAAAGATAAATTTTAATAAATATTATGTTCTTTATATTAAAAAATAAAAAAAGTATATAGGGACTTTAATTGTTATTTATATATAGACAATTTTATTATTTATAAAAGAAATTATAAATAAATGCATAAATTTATAAAAATAATCCATATAATTATTTTTTATTGGAATTGGAAGTTGACAAAAATAATATATAAATTTCTTTATTGAAAACGTTAAATACAATGAGTTATATGTATATTTACAATTATTTTTAAAAATAAAATAACATTTTATTTTCTTGTCTTAAACAAAAATTTATTATTATAATTTTAGATTAATAAGAAAATAAATATGTTTTATTTTAATTAATTTTTTTTATTAAAAATTAAATGATATTGTTATTAATACTAAAAATAATTTTATTTTAATAAATTATGTAAAGACATATTTATTGAATCTATTATTATTTTTTAAATTTTTTTTTTTTTTATAATATATATTTAAAATAATATAATTAATTATAAGGTTGCAAATTTTTAAAGATTTATGCGTATTCCAAAAAATTTTTTACAAAACAATATAATTAAATATTATAAATAATAATTGCATTACAAAATAATATAAAAAAATATTTTATGGTAATTTATACATGTTTTAAATTATTTTTAGTTTATTATAAATAAAATTAAAAATAATTTAATTTCTTATAATATAAATAAATATAATAATAATAATTTATATTATATAATTAATATATAAATTGTATATTCAATTAAATTAATAAAATAAATAATTATTTATATAAAATTATTATATTAATATTAAAATGTAATTTTAAAAAAGTTTTAAAAACACAATTTTAATAATAGTTTTACTTTCCTAATCTATATTAGGAGTATATAATCATGTATGTAATCATGATACTGAATTTGATTTCTCAGAGGTGAATGCCCAAACAGAATAAACACGAAGAATATTAAAAGAAAATGTTCTAAAAAACCCACAAAAAAGAAATTTGCAAAATAATGTGCCTTAACCAATAAGAGTTACTATGGATTATACTTTATTTAATTAAATGATTAATGGTATAACTGATTATTAAAGAAGTCTATTAAAAAGTCTAATGAAATATATTTAGGTTTATTTGTAATAATTATTAAAAGTAATTCCCGCTTTAGGACCTATTAGATATAATACTGAAAAATGTAATAATATAGATATTCCTCAAAAATATAGAGCAGATGGCGAAAGAAATTCTGACATCCTTATTTGGGTTATCTATAATAATAGTCCAGATTCTTCTATTTTAGCTGATGCTGTTTATTGTTAAATGGATGCTGCTTTAAAAAGAGTTAATTTTGGTATAATTAAGGTAAATATGGGTAAAATAGGCTAAAATCGTACTAATTCTGGATTCAAAAGTGATTTAAATGTTATTTTGCATGAAATGTTGCATATTTTAGGATTTTCAAGAGGTTTATATAGATATTGGATAAATCCTTAAACCGGAAATTATTATGATAATGAAATAAATAATTA